GTAGTGGCTGCCCCCCCCCCCCCAGCATCTCCAGTGCCACATCCCGCTTGGACGTCCCCCTCCGCAGCAAGCAGAGACACCGAGCTCTGGCTGATTCTATCCCCATCCCCAGGGCTGTGGGAAGGTCCCCCTAAAACCAAGTCTCTCTGTCTTCCTAGTGCAACACCAGCAAGGGACAGAGGTGGTAAAAAGTGGTGGATCGCAGTGACAGATGGAAAGATGCTTTCTCTGGGTGGCAGGCAAGAACATGGCCTCCGTCACCACTGAATTTTTGATGCTCTGTGCAACCAACAGCAAAACCAGGAGGCAGGCAGCTCCTGGAGCTATTGACCAAGCTAGGACCAAGATATTTAAAAGCAAGTTGGTCACAGAAGCCCTCGCCAGACCCTTTCCATTCAAAGCCTGCTCCTTCTCCTCCCCAAGCTCTCCTCCCAGCCAGAGGAAGCCAGCTGGGAACGGAGTCAGGGGTTGAAGCTGCCCATCGCAATCGCTGACCTTTCCTTCCCAGCACGGTGCACGTGGAGATGAGCTGAGGGCTCACATTCACACCCCTGAAAATGTCAAGCCCTGGCAGCCAGACTGGGAGCTGGGAGAGCCGCTGGGAGCCCTCGCAGCACGAGGGATAGCAAAACCAGGCTGCAACTAATTAAGACCAGGATGCATGCTGTTAACCATTTACTGCCCTGCAGAAGGGAGTCGTTTCCACCTCTGCCTTCACGCTGAGCATCCTGTGGGCAGGAGGATGCTCTGTGGACATTCACAATGCAGTCGAGGTCACAGGTACCCCTAAAACCTACCACCGGTTGCCCTTTATCGAGCGATGCTGCTCACCACCCTCGCTGCTGCAGCTGGAGGGCAGAGGTCTCAATCCTCCCCTCGAAGCACCGTCCCTTCTTCCCCTTCACTCCCCCATCTCACCTCCAGCCCCCCTTCACCCAGCTGTTCTCTAACCGCAGCAGAAGGGAAACGAAAGCCCCAGACATCCCCCCTGCTCTGAGTTTCCATGGGAACAAAAGTGCTGCTGGTCCTCCCAGCCCTGCAGATGCTGATTTCAGAGCAGAACATCCTGGTGATGCCAAGGATGGGAGAAAACCATCCCCACCCTTCCACAAATCCCTCAAAAAATCTATCCAAATTTCACCTGCTGTCTGCTGCAGTCAGGGGACATAACACTGTTCAGCAGACGTATCATCACACAGGTCCACGTCTCAGCCCGACGTCTCAGCATCAGGGCTGTGGTTCTAGCTACAGCAGCGGGGGATCTGCTTTGGGACTGACTTTCTTTTACCCTGCAGCGCACAGGTGTGCCACAGCCTTGCAGAGAGTTTGCATCGCGTGGCCAAACTCTAGGGAAATAAGAAGGAAGCAGCAGCCCGGGGATCAGATGAGCAGCAAGGTGAAGCACAGGCCAGTCAGATGAAAGGAGAGGCATTTAGCAAAGAAAAGCTGGACTCCCATGCAGAGGCACTGCTAAGGGATGTTGGGACAGCACCCTGCTCCCTGCATGGCTTCTTTCCTACATGTTTGTGATGTGCTGCAGCATGAAGCATGGCACATATACATAAAATACACCTCAGGACTAGCGTGAGCCGGGCTCTTCCCCTTACGCATCTGAGATTTTCCTGCTGCTGCACGCTGGCCTCTGCTTGCAGGCAAAGCCTCTCTGGTTGTCACGTACCTGGAAATTTACCTGCCAGGGCTCGGGGCTGACCTGCTGCAGGTCCTGCAGGTGGGTTTTCCGAAGGGGGTTTTTCACCAGGGCAGTGCCGGGATCGCTGGCCGTGGGCACCTTCTTGCAAGGCTCGTGGTCGGCGATTTGAGTGGTGCTGTACGCCCGTCTCCTGGAGGAAACCTTCACATCCATTCCTGCGCAGCATGACAGAGAATCTTAGAACCATTAAGGTCAGAAAAGACCTCTAAGATCAAGTCCAACTGTCAACCCATCACTGCCACGCCTGCTAAACCATGTGCTGAAGTGCCACGTCTACACGTTTCTGGAAGGCCTTTGGGGATCGTGACTCCACCACTTTCCTGGGCAGACTGTTCCAATGCTTGACAACTCTTTCAGTAAAGACGTTTTCCCTAACATCCAACCTAAACCTCGCTTGATGCAAGGATGAGAGGATCAGCTCTGCTCCGGAGCGGGACCAGTCAGCATCGCCCACCCTCGGCTGATGGTGGGCGGCAGGGAGCCCACCCCTGTGGTCCTCCTGGGCTGAGGGGGCCACGCTCAGCTCTGCTCTGTTTTAAGTGAAGTAACTAAGCCACAAAAGGAATTAAGATCCTACACTCAAAACTCCTGGGGGTGTCGGGAGACCAGGTTGGGGAGGTTTTGTCTGAGCAGTTTTCAGCCAGAAAAAGCCTGACTGCACTTCCCCAAACCTCCCTGGAGAAGACAAAGGGTTTACTAATGAAATTTCATTAGCACAGACATTCTCCTGTCAGAGCAAGAGTAAAATTTCATTTGGAAAGGCATGATTTCTCATTGCTTTTGACAAGGTTGAGGGGATGCGTGGCACAGTTCCTCTCTGAATACAAGGGAAGAACATCCCGTGAGTAACAGAGGTTTCCTTGCAGCATGGGAATGCAACCAGGCCTGGGGTGCAACCAGCTGCTTCACACTGTGTGTTGCCAACACAAATGCCTAGCTGAACTGTGACAGCGAGGGGTGACACCCTGGGGACAGGGCTTCGGATCCATTTCCCCCCTCTCCTGATCTTGAACTGCAACTTCAGGGCTTGCAGGGACGCGACTGCTTTGCAGGTGCAGGGATAGTCTAGCTGGGCTACCAGTTGGCTCGCTCCTCTCCTTCTCTGCACACTGGAGGGCAGCTGGGGAAGCTTGTAATTAGTTGTGTGGCCAAAGCTACAGCCGCTTTGAAAATCTCCAGGGAAGCCAGTTCTCCAGGACTTCCCTTGATTTCCTGACAGGTTTGGATAAAATATGAAAACCAAATAGACCCGCTCAAGACTCGGGAGATCTGTCATCCCTCCTGCAAACCCCTCCGGCTCTTTGCAGAGATACAGCCGAAGCGACTTATTTGTCAGACAAGCAAAATGGCAGAGCAGCGACAGAAGCTTGATTAGAAAGACAGGGGCATCACACCCACGCTTGCACAGAGGAAAATCTGACCGGTGTCCGTGTCCGATTCTCCCCCGGGATCTCTGCCCACCACCAGCTGATCCGGGGCACGCTCGGCAGGGCAGCAGCCCTCCGAGTCTCTGGAGTGGTTCCAGCTCTCCACGCCTGCTCCCTCGTCCTGGGAGTGAAAGAAAACGGAGCTGCCTGACTCCTGGGACCTCATCATGCTGTAACGTCGCCTCTTATCCTGGGGGAAAGCAGAGAGAGGGAATAGGTCCTACCACCGTGTCCACCAGCCCACTGCTTGTGTGCCAGCACCCTTATCCACCAAGCTCCTGTTTCTCCCTGATGTCTCACGCACCGTCTCCCTTGAGGACAGAGCGAGAAAGCAAGGGGACATCTCCTGACTAGGCACAAAGAGCCGAGACGCCTGCTTGTGCATATGCTCACCGACACCCCCCCGCTCCTGGGACAGCCCCACCAGCCAGCGCAGCGTGGACTCACGGATCTGGGGTTGGAGATGTACGGGGAGGTGTCGCAGATGACGCCGTAGCCGACCAGGCGGTCACCAGGGAAGAGGCAACTGGTGCTGACGGGGGAAACCAAGACCTCGGTGCTCTCGGGAAAGACCCACTCCACAGACACGTCACTCAGGACAGGTGCCATCGCCTTCTTCAGCGACTTGATCATCTGAGGCAAAAAGCAGAGGGGAGCGGTTATACAGCAGCAGGACGTTGCGTGTGCCATGGTGCATGCGCCATCTGTTGCAGGGAAGGGGAAAATTTTCCCCAAAAAATCCATCAGCTGATTCCTACCCTCTCCTCATCTTAGATGGGAGCCTGCTCCCTCTTTGACTGCTCTGACACCCGCCCCAGCACTCCCAGGCCTTTGGCACAGTTACACCAAGGGCAGCAGAGCAGATATTGCTAAAGCACAGCACTGATCTCACACCGCGTGTCGCCAGCTCAGAGCAACGTGGGAGCTTGTGGCCAGAGCTCTGGTGCGAGGCAGCATCCCCTGCGCACCCCCAGCACTCAGGAAAAGCCGTTGACCGTCACTTGTCCGAGCCCCAGCCCTGCCCCAAGCCCCGACACTCACGCACCAACTGACAGCACTGCTATTTTTGGTACAGGTCCTTGCTGGCACAAGCCACTGCCGGAGATCAGCAACGCTCTGCCAGTTACACATGTGGAGAAGACCAATATCCGTGAATATCTCACGGACAAACCTACCAGGGAGCCATCTACAAGAGCCTGCCTGCGCACCAGGGGAAGTGAACACCAGATTTAGCAGCAGAACAGCTCGGATGTTCTCTATTGTTCACTGCTTTTTCACAGGCTCAGGAAGACACACCAGGCTGTGTTTTATAAGGCCATTAATTGATGCCTCAGACTGCTGAAGGCACCAAGCTGCACAGCCCGCAAAGCTCTTTATTAATAGCTCTATATAAAAAAACCCATCCCTTCACTGTCTTTGCTTTTAATTTACATCAGAAATGCTGATGCCGTTCTGTCTTAGAGAGGATTTTGTGTGCTCCAGGTTCCTGCAGAGGAGTGGACTGCTGAACTCCTCCTTTTGAGATCAACAACGTAGGAGCAAGCTTTTTAGAGACATTTAGGAGATAAAGACCCAATTCTCTCTGGTTTAGTCATCTGCCAGATGACGGGCTAGGCACCATGCTTTCACCAGGGGACAGAGCCATTCTTACGCCGTATTTGAGGCATGTCAGTCTACTCAGCTTTTGTGGGGAGAGTGGAAATGAAGAGGCTCCGTCTTTTGCTTTAAAGTTGGCTTAATAGGCAAAGCTATCACAGTGTATTCCTCTCCCTCAAACCCTGGGTACTTCTCGCCTGAACAACACCAGGGCTGAGCCTGACTTCAAAACTAATTGGCTGCTTTGATGCCGGTTCCTCTGCCCTCGCCGGTGTCTGAGGCAGCAGCTACCTTTGAAGCCAAAGCTGCTGTATCGTGGCTATCGCTTCTCCCCATCCCCATGCAGAGGGTAAACACACCCTCCCACTCCCTCCGACAGCCGGAGATGAAGATGCTCTTTCATCCCCTCCCGCTCGCCCACCTGCTGCCGGGTGGGAGTTGGAAAGGCAGCACCGGGATGGGGAATAAGACCCGCTACCGAGCCGTGGCCTCCCCCTCGCTGAACCAGAGCATCATCAGAGCCTTACAAGGAGGTCCCCTGGGAGCAGGCAGCCGTACCTTGGGCTGCAGCCTCTCGCCCTCTGCCAGGAACTCGGCGATGCCCCTGGACACAGCAGCCAGCCCCCGAACCAGCCTCCTGCAGGCATTTGGCCCTATGCCGAAGCTGTAGCACCTGCAAAGGGACAGGGAGCATCAGGATGAAGCCATCCCAACCCCACACAGCTCACCCACTCCCTGCAGGCAGAAGACATCCCTCCCCCAGCTTCATCCCACTGCTGCGCAGCTGTCCAGAATGCCCAGAGGAAAATAAACCAGCTCCTCTGTTCGCTGGCTGGCAGGAGGGTTGGGAACCCGCATCGCCCTCTGCTCAGCAGACCTCAAATCCCTTCCCAGAAGAGCAGCCTTCAGCTGCACTGCTCAGGGACTTCCCAGCAGGACCGCAAGCCCTTGCCTCCTCTGCAAGCACAAACAAGATGCTTTGCTGCCAGTTCAGCTCTTTTCCCTGCTGAGCGTCTGTGGTCAATAGCACTAAAGACCCAGTAATTATCTCTGCTCACAATTAAAATAAACGTTTTCTCAAGGAAAGAGGAACCGGCCAGGCGACGCTGCTCCCCTGACTCCCAGCTCAATGAGTCAGGATTTGGTTTTGGCTGAAGGCTGAAAACGCAAAGCCGAGCGGGAGCCTGGGCAGGGAGGGCAGGAGTGAGCGGTGCCTGGTGGGGATGGATGTGGCGGGAAGCCAGGAGGGATGGGTGGGATACGACGTTCAGCCAGGGCAGTAGGTAGCTGAGGAGAAAACCACCTTCAGCAGCAGACTGCATCTGCACCAGGGGCTTTTCTCTTAGAGGTTTTTAATCCTCATCTGGCTGCAAATCTTCAATCAGCCTCACACCCTCATAAATAAGGCTCTGATCTTCTTATGAGACAGGCGCCACACACACAACCGGGCAGTGTGCTGGGCACTGCCTTCCAGGGTCACCCGAGACCACGCTCTAACTCTGACTGCATTTAGCCCACCACCATGGCACTATAAGAGCGAGGAAAGGGTTACACCATACAGCTGGGAAGCAGTTAGACCTCCATATACCAAAAAAAGGACAGAGCAGCATCGCTGATAAGCCCTGAAGTCTGAGGGATGGAAGAGGAACAAGGTTTTCTTACATTTTTCCTATGTTTCATGCCCCTTAAAGAGGCAGAGGAGAAACCAGAGCAGTCTGTCATCAGGGCTGGGGAACCAGGCTGGGAGCTCGATGCACAAATTAGCTGCTTTTTACATTGCTCTCTTTCAGCACATTCAATTCTGCGCAGCCTCATCCTGGAAGCAGCTGGGGCCAGACCCAGATGTGCTTTAAAAAACTAAAAAAACCCGGCAAGGAAGATTGTTCGTGTGTCAATCTCTCCTAGCAGGAAGCATCAGACGAGAGCCTGTGAAGCTGTCAGCCCAATTATCCTGCTTTTGATTGTTCAAAAAGCATCTGAACTTCTGGGATCTGTTCCAAACCCTTTGAGGTTCTCCCATGGCTCATATCAGCAATCTCTCCTGCCTCTGTCTCTGAAGCGGGGACATGCGTGAGATGGAACCGCGTTCAAGGAGAAGCGACAGGCTTTTGCCCCCGCAGCGGCCAGCCCTGCTGTGCTCTGTACCTGGTGGAGAAGGAGTGGTTCCGCAGCAGCTCCAGGACCTTCCCCGTGTTGTTGATGGCCCCGTCCGTCAGCAGAAAGAGCAGTCGGGGATGGCCCCTGTGGATGGGCTGCCGAATGACCCACTTCAAAGGCGATAAGATGTTGGTGCCACCCATATCGGCCCGGATCCTTCTGATGCTCTCGCAGGCGACGGCCAGGCTCTCCTGCCCGAAGCAAAGCAGAACCATCAGCCTCCGCACCATCACCCTCCCAGCACCAAGGAAACGTGGCTCCCTCTTCACCCACCTCGCAGTACGTCTGACTGGCAGGAAAGAGGGCCTTGAAGGTGGATCCAAACCCAATGACATTGAAGAGACACGCTGGCATCAGGCTCTTGAGAGTAACCAACAGGGCATCCTGGGGGGAGGGAAGCAAGCAGACATCAGGTGTGCCGGGTCTCTCACCAGCTGCCCCAGCTTCACCAGTAAAACCTCTGCCCAGACCCTACCTTGCCACCACACCTTACTCCCACCTGCATTAGCCTGCACGCATTTGATAACAAAGCTGCTTCTTTCACATTATCTCCTGCACCGAGAAAGCACTGCACATGACTCTGCTCTTTCCAAAGTCCCTTAATGATATTTGGGTCCCAAAGCAGTAAGAAAAATGGGGAGCCTTCAACAAAAAGAAAAAAAAGAGCTGAACAAACCTTTCTGTTTGTTTTTAACTGATTAAATTTGTGCTTGCAATCGGTACTGCAGCACGGAGCTAGTGGGTGAGAAGCAGAGTGTGAAATTGAGAAGTGCGACACGCAATGCATTTCAATGTCCAAACTTGCAGAAAATAAACAAACAGCATAAAGTTACACAAAAGGAAAAGCCTCCCCCATCCCCAGTTCTCCTGTGTTCATAGCTGGCACCAATTAAAATAACTGGGAGAGACAGTTTTAAGCTATTTTCTTTACCAGAGGTGGTTATCTAACTTGCCTATTCCTGGTCTTTACATAAGGGAAGAGCAATCTAAATTGTCTCAGACATGTGACGGCTGTGGACGACTCCAGGACAGAGCCTGTGTTAGCAGCAACTGGACAAGAGCTACCCAAGGAGCCCCCGGGTGTGCAGGGGCAGGCGAGGGAGGCCGGTTTACAGCAAAGTGCTGGCAGCACTCAGGAGCGACTCAGTTCTTTCTGTTTATGTGCTGATAAAGGCAGACTCCTGCCAGTCTGCCTAGGGCAGCAGAAACCCTGGAGCCAGCCCCAAGAGAAGAGCTGCCAAGGTCAAAGGGGTGAGAGCAGCCTCCTTGCTTTGTCATATGCAGTGGCAAAGACCGAGTAACCGCAGAGGGCGGGTGCTGGAGCTGCTCGCAGAGAAACCCCCCGGAACAGGAAGAGCCGCAGGAAGAAGGGTAGTGGGTCAGTCCAGCTCTTGACCCTTGTAAGACTCAGCAGCAAGGCAAAGCCAGAGCACTGCACGTCAGCGAAATAACGTACGAGAACAGGGCTGCCCTTTAACAAGCTCCAGAGTCCTGTAACGCAAGCTGTTATCTCAAACCTACGAGAATATATTTATACTGCTGCTTCCCAGATGGCTCCTGGGATGCCGGCTCTTCCAAATCTCAACGTTGACATCCCATCTCAGAACTAATTATAAGGAAAAAAAAAACCAAATTTCCAAATATTTCTGTTCAAGCACTTCCCAAAGTGGGCAACCGATGCCTGCCTTCTGTTTCAGCAAGCAGAAAGATTTATTGCTTCTTGCGGTAAATATTGATCTTTATCCTGTTGCACTCAATATCTATACAGCAACTCAATAAGGAGAGATGTTTGCCTCCAGAGAAGTCAATTCCCAGTTATTAGCCTGGTTTTGCCAGCAAGGCCACCCTATGCAGGCACCATCACAGGCCTGGCTCTTCTCCCTGGCTGCACCAGGACGGGAGAGGAAAGAGCTGCAGGAAATTTAACCCTCTAAAATTTCCACCCCAGCCCCGCTGGCCAAGTGCCCCTGCTCGGCAGCGCACCGCGTCCTCCCGGCTGCACACAGCCAGCCGCGCCGGGCCATCCTCTCCCCGTGCCAAGCCCTGCCACGGCGCTCACCCAGCAAGCTGAGGACAACACAAACGTCTCCATCAAGCGTAACCCACCCAAACCCTCTAAGAACAGCCCCTGCCACCAGGTCTCTGATATTTGCAAGTCATAAACAAGGACTGGGAGGCTCAAAGCAGAGACAGTGGTTTTCTTACTTGAGGTATCTCCTCCAAAATCTCCAGTATCTCCCCTGAAATATTTTTCCAGAAGGGAAACAGCCTTTTTCCTGTTTTTACAGCCCTCCTGTGGATGGGAGTCCCCGTTCAGGACCTCTGGGAGAAGGGCTCTGTCCCTGCAGGGTACCCATCCCCACGGCGACAAACCAGCCTCCACGAAGGCTCCAGAGACCAGAGACCGTGGTGCCCAAACCCAGCCACGCTGTGAGTTAGAAAGCAAAAATCTGGCCTGGGGCAGAGATGCTTCCTGATTCCCAGGCTCCAAAATGTGCTGAGGGAAGGAGGTCCCACCTCGGAGATATCCCAGGCCCTTTGGTGGATGCAGACACAGGGGACAGCCTCTCTATCCCAGAGGCCTTGCCGCAGCCGTCCTCAGGCTCCTCGGCATCCCGATCCTTTTTGCCGGAGGTGGCCATCCTCCCGCAGTTCCCATGGAAACTGGAGACAGATGGGTAAGGAGATGGGCTAGGAGATGCTCCCTGCTGCTCACCCTGGGCAGCAAGTCCTGCAGAAAGGGGTGCAGCCATACTGAAGGCAGCAATTGAGTCCAAACCTGGGTGGCACTTTTGTTAGGAAAGGGTGTGAGCAGGACACCTGGGGATGCATCAGTTTGGTAAATCTCTCAGGCATCCAAATGCAACCGAGCCCCTCAGGTGCAGCCTGCCTCTGCAATTCCCTCGCTGCCCTCAAGAAAGATGCACAGGGCAGCACAGACCCATGCCCTGCTCAGGAAGATGTGACATTTATCAAGCTGTTGGGACTTACTTGGCCCCAAAAATCAAGACAGAAACTTTCCAAAAGAGCTTTTGCCAGAGACTGCAGCTTCTCACTGAGACCTGCCAGCTGGCAGGCGTCTGACACCAACCTGGCTTCCAAAGCACGTTAGGCAGGGATAACAATAATTAAGCAGTTACCGGAGTGATTTCCCCTTTGATGGACAGAGCGGTCCCTAGCAGGCTGAGGGCAGGAACCTCTGCAGATCCTTCAGGCAGTGGCACAAAGCCAAGCCTAGCTTTCATGGGGCAACCTGCAGCAGGGCGAGAGTCATATCTGACAGGGGAACTTCAGACCCACAAATATCATGACAAGACCTTTCTATGACCCTTTTTTTTATCCAGAGGTCTCGGCGCACCTCCGGTCATCCTCAACCAGACTGCTGGTGTCCATCTGTGTTTGAAAAAGGGATGCGTCATTGTTCAAACGACTTCTGCAGGTGCACAGAGGCACCCAGCAGCAAAATGTCTCCTAATGCATGGTCAGCACGTCACCCTGAGGAACCCCTTGGAGCTCCCTGGAGGTTTCCCGCCTAGGCAGTGATCGCCCCAAGCCCTGCCAGAGACAGGGGGAACTGGAGGAGGGATGCACAAGCCATGCACATCAGTAGGATGGGGAAAGAAAACATTTTTGCATTTGATGTGTTGATAGGAAGAAGAGGAAGAGGAACAGACCAGGGGAGAGTCAGCTTCGCTGCAGGTACCTAACAAGTGACACAGTTGAGATGACTAAAGCTACAGCATATAATTAGCCCCCCATCCCCTCATAATGAACATCCATCAATGCTCAGCAACCCCCACTGCTCTCTAATAGTCATCCCTCGCTGACACGCAGGCACGTCCCCTCCTGCGTGGTACCTTGACACGGTTGATGTTCACGCCGCTCATGCTTCTGCTGCGGTCTACAAGGAAGATGAACTCTCCTTGGGCTTTCCGGAGGTCTGGCTGGACAGTCCTCAAGTCAGGGCAGAAGTTGAGCATGATGATGGGGTGGTGGGGGATGTCCTTGTTCAGTCGCTTCCTGATGATTTCCGTCTGCAAGAAAGAAGGGGGGAGCTCTAGAGGTTGATTTTTCTGCCCCTGTTCACTTCGAGGGGAGCCACAGCAGGGCTGCACGCCTGAAGATGTAAGCGCGTGGCCTCTTGTGAGCTGGGTCTGGCCTCAGCGCTGACAACGCCTGAGCTCAGGCTGTGCAGCGGGTTGTTCTGTCCGTACCCCCTGCGGAGCTGCTCCACGGGTGAAGGGGACTCCTACCTCCTCCCAGCCACCGTCACGCTTTACCTGGGGCACAAAGGCTAGCAGAAAGCCTAAACCAGAGATCCCCTGCACGCACAGATGAGAGCCTGGAGAAGAAATGAAAAGATCTGGCCCTATGCAGCACATTACAAAACTGATTCTTTAAACATTTCATTAGATCCCTCCTGAAAACGTGGTTCATTAGTGCAGTTTACTATCACACTGAGGCACACCGGAGGTTTTGTCCGTGGTCACTCAGTAATAAAGTGTCAGGTGCAGCCCTCAGCGTGCTGTATTCGCCGCTTCGATTCGTTCCTGCTGCCTCTGGTTTGCTGTTTTTTCTGCCCGTTTCTTTTATCATTTTTCTTTGTACGGATTGAAACGCTTTGCAAAGCCGAACTGGTCGCTCAGGACATCGTTCGATAGGAGCCCGCATGATCTATGTCTCTGTACTGCACATAGCTCTACTGGCACTCCGCATTTTGCCTCATTCTATTTCAAGCATCAATCTTCATTAAAAACATGATCAAATGAAACTGGAAAAAACCTCTCGTGATGGGCTTATCATCTGCTGTTACGTGTGTATAAAGCAGTCCCGGGTTCACAGTCTCAGCTGCAGTGAGTCAGTGCATCACTGCTTTCGAGGGAGCTCCGGGACCCCACACCAGTGCGGCCCATGGCCTTTCATCCCTGGGTCTGCAGCGGGGAAGCATCCACCGCAACAAGCAGCTCGGTCCTCAGGGACTTTGTCTGCTTTCCTTTCCTCTTTCAAAGGCTGCTGTTTCTTGCTGATTTCACCAGGAGTAAAACAGACCCCAGATAACTGGGCTTGTTCTCTCTCCAGCTGAGTCATATTCCTAGATCTACAAGCTAAAGTCCAACCTTTATTTTACACAACTTGCTAACCTCAAGAGTCCCTGCGGATCAACACACGTGTGGGCTTTGCTTTCAGCGGCACTGCCTGAGTGCTGCTTCTGTGACCCCTGCGAAAAGACGGTTCCCATTCACAGGAACAAGCACCTCGCTACCACCCCAGCTCTCGCTCATCCGCTGGCATTTCACCCTCATGTTTTGGAGCATGAATTAGTCAGTCACTGGGAACTGGAAGGGCTTCTTCCATCCCCATTTTCCTCCAGCCATATGACATTATTTTGTTTCAGATCTTTCCCAGCATGGACGTTTATCGAATTTCAGATGAGAGAGATCCTTCCTGCCTCTCTGTCCAAGGACCGAATCGTGGCTCCGCACCTACCCGCAGACTCCCTGGCATGCTCTTTGCGACCCAAGACACAAAATCCCTGTGTGATCAGGATGAGCCCATAGCCTGGATTTCCCACTGACTTCAGAGTGAATTTTACACGCAAGGCTTTAGCAAACAGCCTTGGAGCTGCTGCTACAGATCAGCCAGAAAAACAAGCACCTCACCCGCACCGTCTCTTCTCCTCACCTCCGCTCCCGTCTGTTCCCTTTCACCCGTTATCCAATTACAGTAAACTAATCAGATCTTGCCGACCGAGAGTCGATTCCAGCGTGCATTCATCCCCACCACCCTGCTAGCTGACGAGCATCCAAGGCTTTTGCATAACAAACCGAGGGAAGAGAATTAATGATCATTGACCGCTGAAATTTCTGGGCTAATTTAATTTAAGCCAAGTGGTGCCCAGTGTCATGTTCTGAGCAGCAGCAATTCCAGCTCATCGTCTACCCCAGATACCCAGGGCATTTCCTCTGCTTCTTGCCCTTCTCTGTGCAGTTGCTTCCCAGTCTGCCTGGGGCAAAGAGGTGAGTTTCCTGCAGGGAAATGGCTCTAGAATAATCCCCCCCTAGACAATTTGACATGTTAAAGACACAGAAATAATTAGAGAGCCATCTGAGCCATAGCGTGGGAGTTTCATTTCGTTCCACCTGCCGCACGCTGAACACAATTAGAGGAGATGCCTGCCGTGCGAGCAAGCGCAGTCCTGATCCCTGCATCGCGCTGCAAGAGAAAGGGAAGGGCAAAAGGAATGAGAAGAGGGTTGATGTGTCTCCGGTGAAAGGAGAAATCGTGGCAGCACAGGGAGGCACCTCTGCAGCAGGTTCGGGACGTCTGCCAAGCGGGGGCCCAGGCTCAGACACGCGGAGAATGAGTTTAAGGGGAAATGAGCATCCCCGGTCGCAAGCGAGAACACCGGTGCGTGTAAAACGGGGAGCTGACACAGTAAGCCGGGGGCTGTGGTTACACAAGTGCGACGTGTGCCTTAGGTGAAGACGCCCACCCTGGAAATTCAGAGGGCTCTGAGCAGCCCACTCCTCTTCACTGATCTCAGACACACTGATGTGGCAGCTCAGAAGTGCCAGGCTGTCACTCATTGCTTCACAATTGCTGACAGACGAGGCACAAATCCCAGAGCAGATATTTTTCTATTTGCTGATCAGCAGAACAAAGAGAAGTTTCTCCTACCTTGTCTTCAGTTCAGCTCATTATTCCAAGCAAAATCACTTATTTCTCTCTGACAGCTATCCAGAAACGGTAAACATTTACTGAGCAATTAAAAGAATATTTTATTCTATGTCATTGCAATAATTATAACACCCTTAATGCTGTAACAATGTACCTATCTAATTATGCTATGCTAGACTAGTACTAATTATACACACAATAACCATCTCAAAGCTTCTACCACAATCAGTTTATCAGAAGCACTGCAGAATTTTCCCCTCTTCTTCACATAAGCCCCTCTCCGAGGGAGGATGCCGCAGAGCTTATTGGGCCAGTGTGATATCTGGTACTGCAAGCAAGCAAGCAATCATTTACTTGCACAGCTCCAGTCCCAAGGAAAGCCTCAGCTAGCGCCTGCAGCTTTTGCTTCTCACCTTTTTCTCGGCACTGGGGTCTTTCTTAGTGCCTTTAATGAAATCATTCTTCCCCTTCAGGTGTCGTTCGTACTCTGCAGGTGTCATATCACCTTCTTCCATTAAGATGTGAGGCATGTGGGGCTCTGGAAATGCAGAGAATTGGGTGAAGAACAGCCTTAGCTAAACTTCAGCTTTGGCAGAGATGCAGGCGCCCTTGGTTGTGAAAACAGAGCAATATCTCTGAGCTTGGGCAGCTTGGGCAACCCTGAGAGGGTCCGGGATTATTTCCTAGGAAGCCTAACCCCTGACAATATTTGCAAATCAGAGCCAATCCAGCTGTCTCCAGCACTACGGTGAAGCGTCCCAGGAAGGGGCGAGACCAGAAGAGAGGAAGCAGAGCCCACCTACCACTTGGATGGATCAAGATCTCCACGGGTCTGTCGAAGGTGTGTTTATTGGCCAGCGTGATCACGATGCTCTTGGCAGAGCGAGCGGAGGGGTCGGCGTCTGCTCGGATCTCGTGTGTAGGGCTCTCAACGCCTGTCCGGAGAAACCGAGGTGTGGTTAGGGACTGAGGGCGGGGAAGACCGGGGAGAAGAGATAGCAAGATGGCAGAGGACAGGAATCAAGCGGAATACGTGATGCTTCTGCCGTATCAACGCCCCACATTAACATCAGCACTGTACATGACTACACACCGCAGGGGCAGAGCAGGCAGAAGAGCGTGGACATTGCCTTAAGGAGGTGATAGAGCAGTCTGGCACCAGCCCCGGCACTCCTACCTGCCAGCAAGCACGGCCCTCGGATCTCCAGGTGGAAGTTGAACTCGTACTCGAAGGGGTTGGTGGCCTCCCTCTCCAGCAGCTGGGCCAGGCAGAACCTGCTCCCTTGCTCCAGGCTCCCCGATCCGCAGTAGTGCTTGTCCCTGCCGGTGACATGAACCCCAGTCAACACTGTGCACGTGTTATATCCCCCCAGGAACTGCAGATCTCCTGGAGCTAAAGCCTGCAGCGGCTCTCCAGCTTCCCGCAGCAGCAGTGGGCTTCTGCTCTGCCAGTCCTGCATCCCCCCAGATCAGCCCCAGCCAGAGCCCACCCCGTCGTTCTTCATACGTTCGGAGCTGGTGGCTGGAAAGGCTGCTGGCATTCTCCAGGCTGGGCTGGGGGACCCTGGGGACACACACAGCTGGCAGGAGGACCCTCACGGCCCCGCTGGGCAGTGTCTGCAGCTCAGAGGATGTGCTGATGAAGATGGAGACGCTTTCCAGAGGAGGAATCAAGCCCAGGTTAGCCACAAAAACAATCCTCTCCAAGTCCTCATCCATCATGATCCTTCCTGCACAGGGAGAGGACCACACCAGGGAGACACGGTGTCACAATCACGGAAAACGCTGCCCCCCAGGCCTCCTTCAACCACCCCAGTCCTGGATCAATTGCCCAAACCAGCCCTCGCTGCAGACATCAACATTTCTCCAAAAAGCCTGAGCCCCAGCCCTCTGTACAGCTCCTTCAGCTGTCCAGAAGCAAGTGCTTTCCAAAACGGACAAGACTGCCACTTTTGGCAGACACTGTAGGGACACGAGCACCACAATCCAAGGCTCAGGCTTTCAAAAGGTGCCCCCTCGATGTCATGGCCTGTGACAGCCAGCCACCCCCTGCTACCTCCCCATTCCTTCTCCCCTGGTTTTCCTCCCCACATACAGCAAAACACCCCTGACCCCCTCACCGCTTCCATCGCGCGCTCCTCCATCGGGGAGGCTGCAGCCAGGCAAATACGTGTCATCTATCTTGGCTTTGTCTTTGATCTGTACCGTCACGGCACGCCGGGACACAGCCGCCTCGAACCCAACAACGGTGGTGCACTCATCCAAGGGGTAGACAAAGAGACCTGCCAGCCAAAAGGGTGTCAGCAACACTAAGCACTTGCCTGGACCCACCAGCCAGGACCACAGGGGCCAGCCCCCTCTTGGCACTACCATGCACGCTCCTGGGAGTTTTCACACTTCCAAAATTGTAGCCCTGGACCACTGAGGGTAAAATCGAGGACTCAATACCCTCGGTTGCTCTTCCTGCAAGATTCTAAAGGTTTAAGGCACGCACAGAAACCCAGTGCTGTGATATCCCTGGCTCTAAATTTCCTGTAGCAGCTCTCGCACTGGGAGCTTCGTCCCTTGAAACTTGCCTTCAAAAGCCTGGGCTTCTGGGTTGCGGTAGGTGAGCAAGGCTGTCATCCCGAAGGCATAGCCGCTGACGCATGACGTGACCTCCGATGCGGTGAGGGGGAGCGGGGAGCGGGTTGTCCGGTTAATCAGCCCTGGCATCTTCCTGGGAGTCTGTCAGTGACGGTGGGGTCACCTGCAGTGGGCCGGAGAGAGGTGGAATGGCAAGAATAAACGAGGAGTCCTGAGCCTCCAAAACACTTGTGTGCCCGTGCCACCTCATTGCAGCTTCTGCAGCCCTGGGGACAGAAAGGTGACTGACCCAGGACAGGGTGAGACCTGGGCTTGGCAGCTCCGCTGGTGGGGATGGGGATAAAGACAAGACCCTGGTGGGAAGATGCAAGGCAAACCTTTGCCCCGACTCCCCGCCGGTGCAAGAGAGGAGTTTCCGATTAAACCTGCCCGGCTGGCGACAGGCAGCCCCGGAGGTCCACACTGCTGTGGTGGATCACACATCTCACCAGCTTCCGGACCCACCTATCCCTTCACTTAGGGCAGAATGGGTGAACATCTTTTTTTTTTGCTCTCCTGCTTCTCATTATCCTCCAAACTGACAAGTTTCTCGGGGGTAAGACTATGACCCAGCGAGCTCTCCTTCAGCCTGTGGGAAGGAAGGGAAGAGCAGGCAGAGCCAGGCACCCTCCCTGCCCTCCCACGCCCTTGCCCATCCTGCATTTCACGGCTCTGCTGCCCCACATCATCCCCAGATCCTTTCTGCAAAGGCTGACTCATCCCTCGATTTCCTTAGCAGAGACATTCAGATGCAAAGTGGCTACTTCTGCCAATTACATTTCAACACTTTTCCCAGAGCAGGTTTTCCTCTGTTCCAGCTCATCTCCCCCAAGAGGGAGGGTTTCAAAGGAGACCTTTCAGGTAGCTCTCGGGCCTCGTCCAGCTCCCCTGGGGCATCTCGAGAAGTTGCTAGGCAGCAGTTCTCCCTGGCTGGCTCTGCAATGCTTTATGCAATGATTTACAAGGCCCAGGAGGAGCCAGCACCAGTGACATACATCAGTTTCTCATTTCCTAGCAGTCCCGTGTTATTAGAACCATCTTTATATGCAAATGCCACGGAACACACGAACAGCAGACATGAAGGCCACCAGCTCGCCGAACACTCGGGCAGGAAACCGGCATTAATGGAGAGCGAGCAGGGCTGGCTGGGATGGGGGAAAGCAGCCAGAGCACCCGAGCAAACAGAACGGCAGCGGAGGAGATGGTGGAGGGCAGTAATGAGGGCTGCATCTCAAGACAGACTCCTGTTCCCAGCCTACAATCTCGGCCGCTCCCGATTTAATCCTCCTCTCCTTCCGCCGTGAAGGCTGCTCATGCCAGGAGCTGCCCACGGGGGTCGGGGATGCATCCAGGGGGATGCAGCCCCGCGTAGAGATGCAGGAGTGTGTCCAGCTCGGCTGCTCCGGCACAGGAGTCCTCCATGAGCCCAGAGGAGGTTGTCACACACTGGGATGCTCCAAGCCACGCTAACAGGCTTGCAAAGTCAGAGGCTGACAAGAGTTCATCCGCTGTGGGGAGAGATAATGAAGGTCGTCTTGCTGCCGAGATGTGGCAGAGGCCATCAAGATATCATGAAGTGATTAAATGCCAGGCGGGGGAAGAAGGAGGGGGGATTATTTGGCCTTAGGGAAGAAAGAAAGCAAGAAATAACGAGGAGAAGATGCTCTCTACCAGCTAAGCACAACGGGAATTCATTACAGGTTGCCAGAGAGGTGAATTCAGGCTCGAGGAGCGTGACTTCAGCCTGGCAGCTCTCCTGGCTTGGTGACTTACAGCAGTGCCACAGCTGAGACCCGAGCCCCTCACCTCTCCTGCACCCACAGGAGGCTGGGGATGTGCCTCCCATGGGAGCTGCTCTGCCAGCCGGGATTTCTGCATCACCCAGGCCAGCAAGAGCGTTAAGGGACCCTTGGCAGGACGCAGAGCCCCATGCCACGTCCTGCAGAAAGCACGCCAGGAGAGTTGCACTTTTCCCACAGCTCCGGGACGGCTCAGAGGAGCCCTGCCCCAGCCCTGCCTGCTGTGCCAGCTGCAGAAACTGCCCCAGAAGGACAGGGAAGGCTCGGAGGGCTCTTCCTTGCTGCTTCGCCCTCGAAGGCCCTTCGGATGGGGCTGGGAGGCAGCGGGCTGCTGCCGCCACAGTCCCGGGGCTGCTCCGCACGGATCGTGTTGGCGACGCCCTCAAGGGACTGGA